CATCCCAACAAAGGTTTGTGGACCGGGTTTGCTATCCCACTTATTTGAACATTATAAAGGACATATAGTGTAAAAAATTGTAACTTAGAATAGTAATTGTCAACTTTTTAATAAATATGGTACTAACTTTTACAGATCATAAACTAGAGGGATACAATGTGCAATAAACCTAATATTTTTTATGCTAACCATGTGGCATATAAATATAATAATAACAAATGAAGTAATGTGTCAATTTGGTTCATGAATTATTCACTGAGTACAAATTAAGTTTTTAAACTTTTTTTTTAAAGTAAGTCCTTAAACTTATTAAGACTTGTCAATCTGATCCCTACTATAATACTCAAAGTTATTCTATTAAATATTAATTAATCAATTAAGTCAAGTCACTTGAATGTGATACTTTTTAATAGTAAATTGGCTATTTTTAATGAATTTAAGAATTTAACTTTATGAGAAAATAGTGAATGGAGTTAAACTTGAAGAGTAAATTAATAGCTAGATTCGCAATCTATATGCAAATGTTAAGAGTTTATGGACGAGAAAATGACGATATTACCACTTGCAAGTCACATGATTTATATTGACTGAAAAATAAATAGAATATTAAAGATGAAATTGACCGTTTGTAATGACTTTAAGGACTTAATTCAACGAAAAATAGTTTAGGAACGTTTTCACTCACATGATAATTAAGTAGAAAATCAACAGTATACTCTAATATTTTTTAAGTTGGGTGGTTCTTTTTACACCATTTTTTTTATTTATGGACCACAAGTTTTTCTTTATTTTTAAAGACCATTCATCGTAAAATTACCAAAATACCCAACTAAATTTTAGGTAATAGTTCTTAGCATTTTAAAAATAAAATTAAAAAAATGAACGCGGAGAGGGTGGAGTAATTTTTCGGTGTACCCGGTACACCAAAAAAATTTGGTGTACCCTCACTCATAATGGTGAGGGTACACCAAAAAAATTTGGTGCACCCTCACTTTTTGTACACCAAAAAAATTCTAATGAGTGAGGGTACACCAAAAAAATTTGGTGTACCCGGTACACCTAAAAATTTTTCGAGAGGGTGTTGCAGCCACCCAACTCTCTCTCTCTCTCTCTCTCGGAGTCAACCTTCCACGGTGTTTTCATCTTCCCTAGGAAGCTATGCAACGTCGCCACTCTTGCCCCTTGCTGTTCCTCTCTCCTGGGTAGAGAAAGAGAGACCTCACGTGTAAAATCTTTCAAAACCAGTTCCCACTTTGGCCGTCCGACGCCGTTGTGCTCCTCCTCCTTCTCCTTCTCCTCCTTAGAGGGCAAGGGGACGGCATCGTCAAGAGCCATCCCATTGTATGTGGGTCCACCACCTCCTCTTGGTGCTCCAAGCCATAAGGATTTCAGAGGGTGCTTGAATGAGAATCTAGAAAATGGCGTCGTCCTTTTCTAAGCCGCGGTTGCGGTGGATCTTGTCAACCCCAGATGCAGTGGAGACTGGAGCGCCTAATGGCAATCACCAGAGATGGAAATGGGGTCTGGACTGGACTGAGATTTGCTGTTTTTGAAAAAGAATGATGAGATGCGGAAGAAGAAGAAGAAGAAAGGGTATGGCAGAGAGGGTCGAAAGGTTGTGCCAATTTTTTTTTTTTTTTTCTATATTTTCTAGTAGGAATAATTTAGAAATATTACAAATTTACATGTTTCAGTGGTAAATGACGGATTGTAAGATTTCTTTCAAACTAAAAACTACAGGTTTCGGGTTCGAAACCCATTGCTAGTGTGGAAGCCAGAATTGTGGCCAGGAGAAAGCTGTAATGCATATGTAAGTCTTCCCGAATCCGACCCTAGAAGAGGTGGATAACCGTGACTTACCATCTGTTATCTCTTAAAAAATAAAAAAAATAAAAAAATTGTAGGTATCTAAAGAAATAAGGTGTTCAAAGATGAAAATTAGATATACAAAGTCCACTCATTAAGATTCATGGGCTAGCTATTTTGTTTTTGGGCGTGATAACCCGGCTTTGGTGTTACGTCTTGCTCAGCTGCTAAGATTCTACTTTAACAAGAATGAACAAATAAATTTGACCAAAAAGAATGAAAAAAATGGAAAAAGATGGAGACGACGCCTGAGAGATTCGAACTCTCGCGGGGAAACCCCATGTACTTAGCAGGCACACGCCTTAACCACTCGGCCAAAGCGTCGTTGGTGTTAGTGTCTCCTCACGTAATATATATATATATATATGACATATGTTGCAATGTGTTTTGTCTTATCAACGGTTCCGGCTGTACTTTATTTGCACGTTATTTAGACGACGTATTGTTACAAACTGGACACAAGGAACACGTTGAGTATTTCCCTTACCCATTCATTACTTGAGTTTCTAAAAAATTGTAATCTATCACCATCGATTCTCTTATAAAAATTGATTAGTTCAGATGAAGGTGCATGTTAACTAATTGATAATAAAATGAAAGGCAACATAGTTCTTTTTTTTTTAATTTTTTTTTTTTTTTTTTTTAATGATAAAAGACGAGATATTTCATTCCAATACCATAAACTAAGCTAAATAGTACAAGGAAAAAGGAGCCCCTCCTCTAGAAGATCACATATAAATGAAAGAAGATTACCAAACTAAGTACAATTACTCTCCGAATGAAGAGCAAACCTAGCAATTCTATGGACTACAGAGTTGGCATCTTGACGAACATGGGTCATAGAATCTTCAACGATCATTTCCATAAAAGGTTTGGCATTTTCTATGATAGGTCCAATAGTTGATGAATCAATAGAAGAATCATTTAATGCGGAAACCATTTGAAATGAATCACTTTCAAAAACTATTTTCTGTAAACCTCTTTCGATAACCAATTTGAAACCAACTTTAATCGTCAACGCGTCGATTTGAACAAGGAAGAACACCTCCTGGAAAACAAATGAAGCAACCCCAATAAAACTTCCATTAGAGTCGCGGATTACCACACCCACACCACCAACAGTTGAGTTTGGAACCCGCGCCCCATCCAACGTAGTTGTTGTGCCCACCAAGCAACAAAGGTGTGCATGTTGCTTCTCAAGCACAACAAATTAAGATTGTGCATGTGCATATCAAGTGGGGGTTTGCAAATGGACATATTGTTTTGTTACGGTTTGACGGTTAAGACCTCTAATTCGATAGAGAATATGTGTACTTAGGATTATGATATGTGTTATTATGTTATTGGTGTTGAGAAGGGAGGGAAATGAGGGATCTTATATGTGCTTATAAGTAGTTGAGCTACTTTCCATATTGCCAATTGATTTTATGATGTAACCTCAACTTTCTTCATGGTATCAGAGCAAATTGTCCATGTATGAAGCTCAACAGTCACACGTATTTCACGTCACTCTATTTGTGTTGTGCATAGTTATGCTTGAAAATTTTTCTCACGTGAGGGGTGTATTGAGAGTAAATCCCATATCAGAAAAATGAGGGACCTTACATATGCTTATAAATAGAGAATAACTAATGAAAATAACTTGAAAACTGTAAGTTTTAACGATAAGCATAAAATAAAGGGTTAAGTGAATAGTGCCATGATTGACTTTTAGTGTAAAAATGTGGTTTTTCATTAAAGTGTACAGTATCAGGAGTTTTTCGTTAAAGTTCCCTATAAATAGTTAGGCTACTTCCACATTTTATCGTGGAACCTCAACTTTCTTGATTGTATCAGAGCAGATTGTTTCATGTATGAAGCCCAACGGCCACTTGTGTTTCACGTCACCTTATTTGTGTTGTCCACAGTTATTCTTGAAAATTTGTCACACGTGAGGGGCGTGTTGAGAGTGAATTTCATATCAGGAAAATGAGGACTTGCATGTGTTTATAAATAATTGGGCTACTTCCCATATTGTCAAATTTTTTTTATGTTGTAATCTCAACTTTCTTCAATTGGATGTGTCTTAATGTAGTTATATGAGTGTATACTGTTGTAATTTATAAATACTCTCAGTTGTAAATGGTAATTATAACACCATTAATTGAATGAAAGTGAAAAACAGTTATTCAGTTTCTTCTCTCTCTTCGACTTCTGTGATTTCTTCAACTTTTCCCTCAAGATTACTTAGTACAGTTGACATGATTAAATGGATTGGGTTTTGATCTGAATTCGATATAGGAGATGAATTGAGATTCTATGCTCGACAATTAGATTATGATCAATTTCAATACTTCGACTATAATGGGTTTAGAACAGATAATAGATAGATATCTTAGCCATAGAATACAAGTTGAATGAATAAAGTGGAAGGGTGCATTAGTTGTGATGTGCGATCATCGTATGCCACTATAGATCAAGAGGAATTATAGGACGACAATATAGCCAGTGATGTTCATGGCACGAAATGTTGGGTGGTCAAAAACCAACACATGCAAAAAATGAATGTAGTAGATATGAGAATGCTTCGTTGGATGTGGGGACAAACGAGAAATTATAAGATTAAGAACGAGGATATCCGAAGTAAAGTGGGAGTGGCCGCAATTGAAGATAAGATGAGAGAAACTCAGTTAATATGGTTTGGACACGTGAACCAAAGACCTACAGATACTTGGATTAGAAGATGTGATTATGGGGCGAAGGTCATGGCAAAAATGGTAGAGATAGACGGAAGACTTCGAAAGATATTGTAAGAAAATATATAGAGTACTTGAAGTTAACGAAAGACTTGCGCAAAACCGTGCATGATAACGTTCTAGAATAATACAATTGACCTTATTTAATGGAATAAGACATGGTGGTTGTTGTCTATAATGGGGTTCCAATTTGTATCAAATCGGAGCATATATAGGGCTATTGAGACAATTACTTCCACTAAGAAAACTTTATTTTGGTTGCCAATCCATGAGCTTTATTGATTAAGCAAAAGATCGATTACGAACGAATCCAATGGTCAGACTGTAGGTGTATTAAGGTTTGGTTCAAACCTATCCAATCAAAATTTCGAGCTGTATACAGACCCTCTGAGACAGATCTTTTGGTTGCCAATGCATGAGCTTTATTGATTAAGCAAAATTTACACAACGTAGGATTCGAGAAGGCCCTCCAGCCAAGGCATACAACGCGCCATACACACATCCCCAGCCCTTCATGTATATATACAAGTGGGCTAACTGATAACTTACAAATTGCACAAAACAAAGCAAAGTGATCACCCAAATGCTAGCTGAACAACCTTAATGCTAAATCTCACATGGAAGCTGTATACGGAGTGCTGCTCCACCTCACAGCAACCGGACTCCTCACCAGATGGCTACCATCTGTCCACTCAATAGACCCGTATCGCTCTCCGCCATCATACCCAACTCCTCTCCTGAATGTAACCTCATAGCTCAGACTCTGGTTCTCTTCACTGAACTCCAGCTTGCTCGGCAAAACGCTGATCTCAACACCAGCTGGAGCAGTAACATTCACCTTATAAACTGCGTCCACATTGCTCCCCACATTCGTAGCGATTCTCTTGTACTTAACCAGGCTTTGATCCGAGCTCAAGATGACAGAAAGTGAAGGGTAATTCAGATCACCAGGACTAGCCAAACTGTTCTTTGTGCATATATCAGAACCAGTAGGCTTTCCTAAGAAAACGGCGATTTGCCTTGGACTGTACCCGATTGAGCACAAAAATGCAACATAATCATTCACATTGAGATCGTAAATTAGCCCGGGATTGAGAGCTCTGTTGGGATCAACATGTCCTGCTCCATGAACAAAAGGAGTCGACTCTTTCCCTGTTGCAAGGTCCCTGATTTTCTTACCTGAATCGTCTAAAGTGTAAGCTGTTGTGATCAAAGCAGATTTTATAGCAGCGATCGACCAATTCGGATAGGCCTTTCGAAGCAATGCTGCAATGCCGCTCACATGCGGGCACGACATAGATGTCCCCGAAATTATATTGAACTCGGTTCTTCTAGGATCAATTTCCAAATCCGTGGGGGCAGACGCCCCAGTCCAACCCGCCAAAATGTTCACTCCAGGAGCAATCACATCGGGCTTGAGAATCTCTGGTGTTAGAGAATTCGGTCCTCTGCTCGAAAAAGCTGCCACCTTTGGGGCCGGCGGCGAAGTCCCAATTACAGTTCCTCGGAAAACAATTGTGGCCGTCGGGTATTGGCTCAATCTGATGTATTCCCTTATCTGATCGGCGGCGATTTCACCCACCTCTGTTGCTGGGATAAGGTGAGCATCAGCGAGAAGCTCTTCTCCGCTGTCGGCTGTGTTGGCCAAGATAAACCCAAGCCCGCCGGCTAGCTTCACCGCGCTTCCCTTTCCGACTCTCGCATTGCCGCCGCGATCACAGACGACAATTTTTCCCTGGACTTTCGATGGCTTGAGAGCCCCTGCGTAACAGTACCTGCTTCCTGCGTCTCCGCCGTATATTAATGGAAGCTGGTGATCGACTAGAGGCTCGCCGGAGTACAATGAAACACCACCGAAAACCCGGTTATCGCCGAGGATAACATCGGCTGGGAACTCTCTGTCAACGGTGGAAGCGCCAACTGTGAGAATCCATGGAGCTATGTTGGTGGCCGTAAATGGGTTGGGCCCAGAATTACCGGCGGAGGCGGAGACGAGAACACCATGCTGAGAGGCCCCGAAGGATCCGATGGCTATAGAGTCTCGATCGTACGGAGGAGAACGACCGCTGGCTCCGACGGAGAGCGAAATTATGTCAACGCCGTCGGCAATTGCTTGATCCATAGCGGCCAAAATGTCGGAATCGAAACACCCAAATGACCAGCAGATTTTATAGACGGCGATTCTCGCCTTGGTGGCCATGCCTCTGGCTTCGCCACGAGCGTACGAGAACAAGCTGGCGTTAGCGACCGGGGAGCCGGCGGCGGTGGAGGCCGTGTGTGTCCCATGGCCTTCCGTGTCTCTCGGCGATTTCGATTCATTCGATTCGTCCATTAATCGTCCGATGTACGCTTCGTAGCCGTCGAAGTAGGCTCTGGCGCCGATGATCTTGCGGTTGCAGGAGGAGGACGGGAAGTCCGGGGCACTGACGCAGGTGCCCTTCCATCGGGACGGAACCGGGCCGAGACCTGAGTCCGAGAAGCTCGGGCGCTCCGGCCAGATCCCGGTGTCGAGGACGCCGACTATGACGTCGTCGGCGTAGTCGGAGTTGGGCCATAAGCCGAAGGATTCAGCGAGGCCGAGGAAGCTGGGGGTGTGAGTGGTGTGGAGCTGACGTGGCTGGTCGGGTGTGACGGAGAGGACGGCGGGGTGGGAGAGGAGCTGGGTGGCCTGAGAGGATGTGAGGGCGGCGGAGAAGCCGTGGACGGCGCGGTCGTATGTGTAGAGGAGTTTGGTGGGGTGGGGGGACGGGAGGGATTGGATGATGGAGGTGTACCAGCTCCGGTGAGAGGAGAAGAGGGTGGGCTTGTCTGATTTGGACACGTGGACGATGAAGGTTTTTGGACGGTCGGATAGGTCGGGCGGGATCGAGAGCGTAGCAGGAACAAGAAAACAGAGGAGGAAAAGGAAGGGAAGGAGGTTGGAACCGGCCATTGCTAACGAGTGTTTGGTTCCTCAGAAAGAGGAGGAAAATCAACAAATGGGTTTGTCTGCAGAACTGCGAAACTGGGTGTGGGGTTTTCTAATTGCCACGTGGCTCCATAATTTTTGTTACGAATGGATTGGTGCGCGAATTTTAGGCAGGTTCATCCGATTGCCGTAGCTGATTATTTACGGTTGGATTTTGGATTCCGAATTTTGGAGGATGCAAATGAATAATGTAGCCGCGATGATTGGCCTACCACATGACATAGGGTGGGACCGGGATTTTAAATTCGGTATTGCAGGCACAACGACGTCGAATGGGGGAATCAAGTGGAGTGTGGTCCATGACTCTAGTGTATACCCACCACCACCTACGTAATCACCAAAAAATGTACCTACTTTTAAATTTGAGATAGGGGGGGGCTGTAAATCGACTTGAACAATTTTAGTTTGACTAGGTTTGTTGTAAAGTTTGGTTGATAAATGTTTTACGTTATGACTAAACCAACAATCTTTCTCCTTGCGACAGAGTCCAAAAAATCATATCGTTCGAGTTTGTCTCAAAAATAATTGAGTCAAGCAACTACAAGCTCGAGTTTGCGTTTGTGTTTACAAAGAGCTGAGCTCGAACTTGATAAAAGTTATTTTTGTCTTAAGTACACGGCCGACCCTGAGGGTGTATATCTAGTGCCACTGCACTGGACTACTGATTTTTTTCTCTCCTCTAGTTGCTTGTGCAAAATAACAAGAATGCGCCTATGGTGCAAACGTCCCGTTTATGTTGTAAGATTGTAACAAAAACGACCTTAAACACGCTTTCAGAAGGTCAGAGACAAACTCTAAATCAGCAAGGAAAAAAAATTCAAGTACCAAAAGGTAAGAACACCAAAAATTTAGGGAACAATTATGATATTAACAATACTCGCAAGAATTAGATGACAATGTGAGTTTTATCAAAATTTGGTCTCTTCTTAATTGCTGATTCGCTTCCCACCATACTCGAGTGGGCAAAGGCTGTTCTAGTCTCTTCTTAGTTGCTTGATGACCTCACAACATAACACAACACATCAAAGCTACCCAACAGTGGTGTGGAGACTAGAACATCTTTGCCCACTCGACAGCTCTTCTATGTCAGTTGAATCGTTTCTTACCAGATATTTGCACTCGACGAGTGTTAGAACCAGAACCATATGATGTATTTCTCTTAAAAGACGATGGGAGAAAGAACCTATTCCCTTTCACCCTTCTAAACAAATAACAAGATAAATTACATATCAAATTTCAACTCCGACGAAGCAACAAAACACGGTAACTTTTAAGAACCAGAATTGTTGCTCAATAACAATAAGATGAGGTCAGGGAAGAAGGGAAGCAAAAATTTGACACAGCAAGCAGGAACATTGTTACTTGTTCAAACAAACAAAAAACATTCTCAGACAATTTAGTTTAGAACGATTCCGTAACAAAATCTCATGACAAAAATTAGGTCTATGATGCTAGTAATACCCAGAATTGGCAAAAACAACAGTCATTCCCCAACAAACACAGACATAGGAGCTTCGATAAACAAGACAATCTCTGATTGATCACCGCAACCTTCTTGCCTCCCTCTCGGACTCAAGCAAGGTAAGGATATCCCCCTCCCTCACGGGTCCCTTGACATTCCTCATGATAAAACGGTTCTGGTCATCCAGAAACTTGACTCTCACCTGAGTCACCTGCCCACGAGATCCAGTCCGTCCCATAACCTTGATCACAATAGCATGCTTAATCGTGGATTCCATTCTTCGCGGAAAACAAAATAAGAAAGAAAAATTTAGAATACACAAATATTTGATTTAGTTTCAAACCCTACAATCTAGTACATCAGAGTTAGCGAAATCCCGACGTACTTAGGGAGGATACAACGGTGTCCAAAGCATAACGAATTTACGAAATAAGCAAAGCACAAGTTAAAATTCAAGAACCACCACAAAACAGAGCAAAAAACTCAATGGGGCTTCAAAATCTCATGGTATTTGGTAATGGCTGCCAGTAAGAAGTGAGCACCAAGCTTCAAAGCAACTTCTTGAAGATTAAATTTTCTTTGAAACAGAATATACAGTAATATAAACCCTAGAAACTGAGGTTACAGAAAATTTAATCATTATTCAACAGCTCCTCACATTTTACCATATTAATAAATTAGATTGGGTTCTGGGTACCAAATCTAACCCATATGTTTCTACGAATCAAGCTATAAAAACTAAATAAATAAAATTGTCAGGAACAATGAAAATTTCTCATTCATTCAGAAACCCAACAGAAACTTATTAACATAATATAACATAGGATTTACATTATGCGAAAGATAAAACCCTAACCTGGAGGCTGGATGTCCAGATGAGAGATCGAGGTCGGAGAAGACGGGAAAGTGGCGGCGCGGAAGGGGAGGCTGAATCGCGAGACGAATGAACGACGCAGTGCAAAGTAGGAGAAAGGAGAGGAAATAGTCTTTTGCATCAACTAGGGTTTGGGTTTTTATGTTAGGTTTACAATTTTACCCTTCATTCTATTTTTCATTTCATATCAACCAATAATGTTTACGTAATTTAGGGCCCATTTGGTAAGAAGAGGATTCAAAATTTTGATTTTTTTTTTATTTAAAAATTTTAAATCCAAAACTTTGTTTGGCATGAAACGTCTCAAAACTAATCCAAAACAGAAAAAGTTAAGGCCGAGGCTCAAAACCAATTTCTAGACCATTGCATCCCTCCTCTCCCCAACGGCGACTCCTTTGGATATTCAGTGACTTCTTACCCCCAACTCGTGCTGACAAGACACATGCTAGTTGGGTCGATAGTCTCAAATTTGGGATCCAACAACCTCCGAAACTAGTGGCCATTCGTTGTTGTTGATTTATCTTGGCCGAAGTGGAAGGGGGATTTTCTTCCCTCTTAATTTCTCTTCCCTTCCCTCAACTCCTATTTACATGACCATAGTTAAGCAAATGTCAACATCTTATATTGATTTTTTTATAGAGATAATAAGACAAACGAGTAATGTGTGAGAGAAGGGAAATGAAATTGATGAGAATAGAAGATGGAAGAATCATACTCCACCGGAGTGGGCATCGTAGGCACCCCACATCATGCTCAACTGCCTCCACACCACTCAGATGCCAATCAATCACGTCCCAAACCAAACTGCATGATCTCTTCTACACGGAAGTCTGGGCAAAATAATTGGCATGAGCGATGTGATTGGCCATACCGTCTAGAGGATAGGCAACGTTGATCCACACAAGGAACAAACTGCTCTGAATAAAGATACCTAACAACTAGCATTATATTTTGTAATATGATATATAATCTAAGAAGAAGAGAGTTTGATACCCTGAATCATGATCAAGAGTTTTATGGACCACACGAATGGTTGTATTTTTTTTATTAAAATAGCTTAAGCAAAAATACCATACAAATAGTGTGAGGCATAACCCAAAAAACCCAGTACATTTCGACAAAAAATAGCATACGAATAGTCTCTTAATTGGGCTCCACTCAACTTCTGTTTAACCCGACATAGTGTCGAGCATACGGGCTGCCCCAATTAGTCCCGCTAGAGGGCCTTTTATATTCCATACATTTTTCAGTCACTGATAAAAAATCTAAACTAATTGTACGTTTTATCCAAAAATCAAGTAAATATTTTAAGGCTCTGCGCATAGTCTTGCAATGTTTCCGGAGCAAAACATTCTTTCACTTTCTGCTCGTCGTATTAATGTTGGGGGTAATGACATATGACTCGTTTGAAATTTTTTTTTAAAATAATTCAAAGCGTTTTTAAAGAAAATATTTTTTTTTTGTTCTAAAAACACTTTAAATACATTTCCAGAATTTATATGCGTTTTTACTAAAGATTGGATTTAAAACCTTTTCACTAAAACAATTTTCAGTAATTTTAAAAGCACTTCCAAACGAGTGGTCATATGCTTTGCCAGAAAACAAATTAATCCCTATTGATACAAAGACAAGAAAGAATGAATCATGTGACCATTAATTATAATACCATATAAAATAAGAGATGATGATTGAGTTAAATGTATTATCTTATTATTGGATTAGGTAAATGAGATGTTAAATAATTGAGGAATATGTATTTTCTCAGAAGTTAGCCACCATTTCATAGGAAAAAAGACACTTAATTTCTTCATATTATATTTTCTGTCAGTCTAGTTGGCGAGTTTATCTAATTTTGACCCCCTAAATTCTAAGTTAATGAGTAATTTGGATATGCTAACGCGATAAACGAACATACGAGGTGATTGTTGATGTTATTGTGTTGGCATTACTTGACTTTTGGTATGATCAATCTAAATCATACTAAAAATCTTTAAATATATTATGGGCGGTTACAATAAAAGTCATCGTGTATCAAGACTGATAATTTATTTATCTGAAAGTTCGAATTTATTTCCTTTTAAGTTTCTAGCAAAAAGGATCGGTACGAATTTTATTTCAAAGCGGCATATTTTCCATGAAAATACTTAAGACCAAAGAGATCATTGCGAATGATTGTCGGTCATAAATGAACGTAAGATCTATTTCAATCAACAGTTGACATTCAATCATGCGGGTGAGCGACTATCCTTAACAAAACTAATAAATTTTGGAATGGCTAAAGCTTAGGAAACAAATATTCTTCATACCAAGTTGCCATGTTGCATTACACGTTTGAAGGCTTGAAGCTCAAGCACTTGATAAGTAGATATCTGCTGGTAATCAATGATTGAGTTAAAGATATTGAAGAATATATCTAACGGCCAAAAAACTTGGTGTGGGTCCAAATCTGATGGGAAAACTAGTATAATTGTATTGTGGCCATTCATGCAGTGCACCAGATCCGGTTCCCATATCCTTCCCTTGTTCTATCCACCGTCCACTAGAGAGTCACTGAAATAGTGCCTGTCTGGCTCTGATTCTGGTGTTATTTTCTTAGTTGTCACTGCATTTCTGTGTTGTGTTTGTGTTGTGCCAGCCGCTATGATTTATAAAACGGACAACAATTCTCTCCCTTTTTTTTTTCCTTTTCTTCTTTCTTGTTTGAACGTTCAAGATTTTATCTTTGTAAAAAAGAAGAAAAAGAAAATGGAAGAGGAGGGGGGAGGGGAGGGAAGGAGGGGAGGGAAAAATTAAGGGGAGAGAATCCCCATCCTTATAAAACGTCTTTGTTTACCTTTCATAGTCATCTTTTGTTTCAATTATTTCTAATTTAGGTTGAATTGATAGACCTCTCATTGTCATTTAATCATATATTTAAAATGATTTCACTTCCATCTTTCATAACATTAAATGTTATCGGCATTAGATGGTCTAAATTCACGGATCCACAATAAAAATAGTAATCTAAATCAATGTATCTTATCTAGTAGCATTTAACGTCATTAGAAAAAGAAAAAAGTTGTAGATGGGTGGGTATTTTCCATGTTACATGCAGGCCATGTGTAGGTTTCCACATTTCTCTTGATTCCTTTGCAGAATGATCCTTCCATTCTCATAAACTTATATATATAAAAACAATTTCACCTTCAAGTTCCATAAATATCAAAATTCTAGCAACATAACCATAAGAAAATTAAGAAGATTAAAGGAAAAAAAAGGTTCTGTATTTCAGTACTAATTAATTAAATTACGACTAAAATTAAACATCTACCCTTAACAATTAAATTCCTTGCTTTTCCTTTCTGGGTTTTTATTTTCAGCAAATAAAATAGCAAATTCGCCAAACTTTTCCCAACTTTTGATCCTTATTCCCAATATATTCTCCAGTAATCAAATATCCTCAACCAGTCAGAGTCGGAAAGCAACTCTCAGACCTTGTGAGCCCTTTGCCTGCATTTATCTTTGTAGGACTACTTGGAGTTGATCTCAAACCCCCCCTCGGAGAATCCAAACTGCGCCGGAGAATCTGTCTCATGGCAGATATCAAGTGAATGGTAGGGTTTGGAGGAGGCCCTGAGGCCTTAAACTTTTTGCAGAAGTTCATGTGTGTGGCCATGGCTTCTTCCGTGCTGATCAGCCTCTTCTGCGACCTAACAATCTCATCTTTTATAGCTTCTGCACACAACCCACAAATCCAATGGCCCTGATATCTCTCCCTCACGTGCTCAATGTACGCAGGTGTGCACTCTTCTGTTAATCCACAGCAGTCGCATTGTACGAACTCGATTTCGATGGAGGGAACGAGTTTTGTTGTGGTTTGTTGTGGCTGAGTTTCCGCGGCCGCGGCCGGTAGAACAATCGTGTCGGTGGTGACGATAGTTGCGGACATTGCCATTATTGTTAAACCTGCAAATAATGCGAGCAATGCAAATATGATTTCTAGAATCATGAGCAATGCGTAACTTCTGATGGGAATCATGGGAAGTTATGTGTGTTTTTTTTTTTTATAAGAAAAACAGAATTCGGCTTTGGATAACAAAAAACGTTGAGCTTCTTAGCAAAAAATAAACAAGGTTTGAGCTGGAAATCCCAACTATGTTCTTGAAATAGCTTTGTTAGTTTCTTTCTTCCTCAAAAGATAGAAAAATAAAATCATGGGTTTTGCAGATTAATTCCAATCCTATATGAATCAAAAGAAAAGAAGAAATATTGCACCGTTTTTTCTTCTAAAAATAAAATAAAAACATACTTGCAATGCCATGTAAATTGGTTAAAAACGTTTTCCTTTGAACTCAACGTATCACCAGTTCAGTTCCCCTTCCAATATCGCTTGCATCAAAACAAAAATGAAAAACATTTTTTTGAAAATGAGCTTCTCATTGAAAAGTGAAAACAGAGAAATATCTAGTTGCAATTCAAATGAAACAAGCTCAAGTTAAAAAAAAAAAAAAGTGAATAATTACCGGCAGAAACTGCAGAAACAGATTAAAACCTAAACCCGATGTATCCTTTTTGGTTATTTTCTTCTTCTGAATTTCTGCTAATTTGGGTTTGTTTTCTGTGCGTATCCTCTATCGCTCTTTCTCCCAAGCTCCTTCTTCAACCTTCTCTTCCGCAGCCATTTTCTAAAGAAATAATCTTCAAACCTCAAAACTCTTTATCCAAACGGAGCCTTAATTTTCAGCTTTCTCAAACTTCGCTAGTTGAATTATCTCTTCGTCTTCCTGATGCAAGACCCAAACTGTGATCTTTTTTCTCTCTTTGATCTCTTTTCTGTGTTTTTGGAAAGAACCCAACTCTTAATATTATGAGTAAACAAAGAGATTGCTTTTTGTTTCTCCTTCACAAAATCTTCTACTCAACAATATATGAATAGCAGAGAAGTAGAGATACAGAGAGGAAAATACAACACACTTTCTAGAGAGAGAGCGGTGCAAGAGACAGAAGACCCAATGATTGAAGGCTTAAGGAGCTGGACTACTACTACAAGTATATTCGACCTCAGCAGCATTTGCTGTCAGGGAATTCTGACCGTTGATTTATTTGATTGCCAGCTAAGCATTATCATGTTTTCAGACTATTCTTACCCAATACGTGCTGTTTGGGGGGAGGTTTTTTCATTTTCTTTGTTATTTAAACCAATGAATTGCATCCGCGTGTAAACCAAAAGCGTGTAAGCTCCGGGTTTAATTGTTTGCTTTGCTTCCACAAGTCTTTTTTTTTTAAAAACTAGACTCCCAGAGGAAAAAGAAAGCAAACAAACAAAACAAAGAGACTTCCAAAAGTCCTTTTTCCCAATCAAATTACCGCTAAGCTTTCAACTGATATGTACTACGCAGGCCCTAACTAGGTGTTCCCCAGCCTGCTTATAAATGGTAATCTCTATATTTCCACTACTTTTTGTCATTTCGCGACATGCACATATATGCTCACATATCTAAATTCAACTCAAAAACTTAAAAGCTCACACCTCTCTTTTTGAAATCAGGAAAATAATGTCATCACATGTGAGTTTTTACAATTTATATGTGGGTATTTCTGTCATTTCAGTTTTGTGCTTGACTTGTCAATGACCGATTTGTCCTATTTCAATCCAAAGATTAAGAAAATTGGTACAATTTCCAATCTTTTTTCATGTGGGCCCCATATTGTCATGATTCTCCGTATCTTAGTAAACACAATAATGATCCGTAATCATAATCAGACTCCTTATTTTCATTTTGATTGCGAGTGTGTAAACACGCATAATGTATTTACAAATAATTAAACTGCTTTGCTTGAAGCTATAAACTCCTTCAAATAATTTGTTTAAATAAATTATATACATAGTAACAATTAGTATTATCATATTGGAATGTCTACTTAATCCTATATCAAATTAATTTGCAAGATAGTAAAAGTAAAATATATTGTATATATTAGTTAAATTGAAGAACCTTAATCAAACTAGTCTTCCTGTCCTAAGGTCCTCATTTTGAGGACTTGTGAGGACTAAATGCATAGTAGCCACAAGATTATATTAGTTTAGATCCAAAAGCTTAAAATATTTTACAACTTAATAAAGCAAGGGGTGTGATATCCACACACCCCTTTTTACTTCTCACACACCCTTTTCATTTGTGGCCATCGGATTGGATGAAATGAAGAAGATCTAATGCATAGAAATTAACAAGGGTGTGTGAGGAGTAAAAATGGATGTGTGGATAGCACACCCCTAAAGCAAAACAAGAAAATGAGTTTTCTTATGGTTCGTACGTGGATTTTAAGTTGACTAATATAATCTTGTGGTTAATATGCATTTAGTCCTTATAGATCCTCAAAAAATCAAGACCTTAGGAGAGCAAGACTCTATTTAAACTAGAGTATGATATTTAATTGGTTTGTAAATAGAGAGAGATGTGTTTGTAGGGTTGTGTAGAGGAATGTGTTATTCCTCCTACGCAGTGCCCTTATTTATAATAATAAGAGAGAGAAGAAATCCTTCTCTTCCAAGGAATACAAGTCCATATAGGAAAAAATAACCAGAATCAAATCTAATTTAGGATTTGCACAATCACACTTAAACTAGAAGTTTATAACACTCCTCTTTGAGTGTGTAAATAATCCAGTAGATTCGGCATCATGTAGAGGTTGAGGAAGTCAACTCGTTGGCATTGACGATATTCTCAATAAGGTAGGAACTTGTATAATAAAGTAAGTCTCACAAAAAATCCTATGGCTATGGTAAAAACCCGAGTAGGGACAAAACCCATAGTTTAAGGAAAAATGTGTGAGAAATGCAAAGTCAAATGAAAGTTCTACAGGACATCATCAGGGATATGATCAACCTAAGGTGGGTGTCTCGTTAAAACCTAGTTAGGTAGCAAAAACCCAGTGGGAAAATGCTCATAATCGTAGAGAAAAAGATTACATTAAGATCAAGCAAGTATACGTCAGGATACTCCCCCTAAGTTTGACACAACTCCAAAGAAAACTAGCAATGTTACAACTCGGAAAGTTTACGCATACTAATTCCTTGAACAAGCTTTTGAAATGTCGCATTCGGTAGTGATTTGGTGAAGAGGTCAGCCAGATTGTTTTGTGAATAGATTTGTATGACTTCAATCTTCTGATGCTTTTGTTGTTGATGTGAGAATAAAAACTTTGGTACAATGTGCTTGGTGTTGTTTTCTTTGATGTAACCTTTCTTAAGCTATTCTATGCATGATGCGTTGTCTTCGAAGATCGTCATCGGGACATCAAAGACGGGGTAAAGATCGCATAAGCTTCGAATATGGCCTACAACTGCTCTAAACCAAAAGTATTCCCAAGTTGCTTCGTGTAAGGCGAGAATTTTAGCATGATTAGACAAAGTGGCAACTAGGGTCTGTTTAGTTGACCTCCAAGAGATTGCGGTGCCTCCAACTGTAAAGACATAACCCGTTTGAGAGTGCGCCTTATATGGATCAGATAAGTATTATACGTCGTCATAACCAACAAGGCAAGAATCGACTCGAGATAAGGGGGTGCAGCATCACTCGAGGATCCGTAGGGATAGAACAAGCCCAAATCCATAATACCCTTAAGGTAGCGGAAAATGTCTTTAACACTAGTCCAATGTCTGCATGTTGGTGTATTACTGTATCTTGCCAAAAGATTAATAGCGAAGGAGATGTCAGGTCTAGTGTATTGAGCTAAGTACAATAAAGCACCTATTGCACTTAGAAAAGAAACTTCAGGTTCCAAAATCTCTTCATCATCCTCCTTCGAACAGAAGGGATCTCGTTTTACATCTAACGATCGAACGACCATAGAAGTACTCGAAGGCTTCGTTTTATCCTCATTAAAGCGGCGTAACACATTCTGGGTGTAGTTTGTTTGATGTATTAAGATTTCATCTGAATGGTGCTTTATCTCAAGACCGAGATAGTATCTAGTATTTCCTAGATCTTTCATCTCAAATTCCAACTTTCGGTGCACGGCAATTCTCGTGAGCTCTTTAGGAATTCCAATGAGGTTCATGTCATCAACATAAAATGCAACTATCGCAAAATCGGAATGTGACTTCTTAATGAACACACAAGGGTATAGTTCATTGTTCACATATCCCTGACTAGTCAAATACTCACTCAGACGATTATACCAATTCTTCTGGATTGCTTCAAACCATAGAGTGAACGCCTCAGTTGAATTGAAAGTGTGTTCCAGGGTTTGGAAATATTTGATCCAATCAATGTAGGTTCCTCGGGAACCTTCATATAAATTTCTGTATCAAGATCCTCATAAAGATACGCAGTTACTACATCCATCACATGCATACTTAGTTTTTCAGAAACTATGAAACTGATAAGGTAGCGAAAAGTAATCACATCCATAACAGGTGAATAAGTTTCATCACAGTCAATTATGGGGCATTGTGAGGAGCCTTGCGCAACAAGAAGAGCTTTGTAACGCACAATTTCATTCTTCTCATTATGCTACTGAACGAAAACCCACTTGTAGCCAACAGGCTTCACATGTGGAAGAGTAGGAGCTACAGGTCCAAACACCTTACGTTTCGCAAGCGAATCGAGTTCGACTTGGATTGCTTGTTTCCAGTTTGACCAATCGGTTCTACTCGACATTCACCAACGGAACAAGGTTCAATGTCATCGCTTAACATAATCTCAGTAACTACTGCATATGCTAATGCATCATGGACGATCATCTTATTTCTTCACCAAACATAATCTGAGCTAGCATAATAGACTGAAATCTCACGGCTCTCACAAGCTAGATTCGTCTATTTAATGACGCTTCCGTAATCTAGAATTTCATCATGAGTTGGATAGAATGAGTAAGCGACAATTGGATTCACGGTAGGCTCTTCAGATGCATGTGTCATGGGTTTCCTCTTTCGAGGGTGTGAATCATTTGAACCAAGAGGTCTGCCACGCTTTTGTGTAGGGGCAGATGATTGGCTAGCCATTAATGTACATGAATTGGCCAAAGTGGCATCCCGAGCTGCTAAGAGGGAAGTCCGTCGTACATTTGGTACATCCATCTTTGCAGGCACATTCGCAGCTGGAATATGTGATCATGTAATTTGCCCTAGATTGATGAAAGCATCTGGCATGCTCTGAAGATCTAATATGCGCTGCACTTCAGTCTTAAACTAAGCAATGCGGGGATCTAAATGAGACAAAGTAGGAGTCGTCCACGATAATTCAAGTTGTTTTTCAGGAACGTTGACATTCTTATCTCCCCCTAACGACAGGAATACTATTTCATAGAAGTGACAATCCGCGAAACGAGTGGTAATAGATTGCCTGTTAAAGGTTCTAAGTAATGAATAATCGAAGGAGAATCAGATCTGACATAGATTCTAATCCTTTGCTGAGGTCCTATATTTGTACGTAAGGATGGTGAAATTGGCATATAGGTCGCACAACAAAAAACGTGCATATACGATATGTCGGGTTCGTATTCGGTAACCAACTGAAGAGTGTTATATGGTTGGGTTGCAACATGCCTTAGGCGAACCAACATGGTTGCATGCAATATTGCATGGCCCCAAGCAGCGATCGGGAGCTTGGTACGTATGACCAACGATCGAGCAATCATTTGTAAGCATTTAATGAATGTCTCTGCCAGGCCATTCTGGGTGTGAACACAAGGTACATGATGTTCAACTTCAACCCCAACTGACATGCAATAGTCATCAAAAGTTTTATATGTGAATTCTCCAACATTATCCAATCGAATAGATTTGATTAGATAATTAGGGTGGTGAGCCTTGATAACCTGAGCCAACAGTTTGGAGAACGCAACGTTCCTTGTGGACAACAAGCACACTTGTGACCAACGTGTGAAAGCATTAACCAAAACCATAAAATATCTAAATGGTCCGCAGGGAGGGTGAATCGGTCAACAAATGTCCCCCTAAATCCTTTGTAGAAAAATAGGAGGATTCGAACGAATATTGTCATACGAAGGCTTAGTAATAAGTT